TTTTCTTCTTTTCTCTTCCTTCCTTTTTCTGCTTTCCCACCTTTTCTTTTCTTTCCCTCCATCCTTTCTTTACCCCTTCCCTTCCTCTCTTCTTTTTTCTTTCTCTTTCTTCCTTCTTTCATTTCTTTATTCCTTCCTTCCATTTTTCTGCCCATTAAATTTTCCAAATCTCTGTGACATGTTTTAAATGTTATTGAACTCTGAAAATTCTGACGACTCAGTTGTAGATAGAACTAAGAATACAATTTCTTCTGCAAATGTGGCATTTATTAATGCTGTTGGCAAATAACTACCTTCATCCTAGCCAAGACACTATCATCTCACACTTGGATTACCACAGTACTCTTCTAACTTGATCTCCCATTCATTTTTCTCTGTGCAATTCATTCTATATACCAGTACAAAATTAATGTTATCAACACACCATTTTAATCATGCCTGTCCCTTGCTTCTGAACTTGCAATAGTGCTTCTAGTATGTATAGATTCAACTACAAACTTCAGAGTCTGACATTCAAAAGCCTTCTCAATCTCAATGGGTCCCAAAGTACCTATCCAACCACATTTCGAAGGTCCTTACTCAGGTCAGTTTTGGCTTCCTTCCTACTACAACCACCCATACTTACTCTTACTTTTTTGCCTGTGCTGATATTATTCCCTTCATATAAAAGATCCTTTCACTTTCTCTTATTCAAATTCTAACTATTCTTTTTTTTTAAATGAGATTCTGATAATTTTCTTAGTGTAATGAATTCCTAGTTAGGAAACTCCTTCTACCAACGTAAATAGGCAACTGATCTTTAACTTACAGTCAGTTATCTGAAGCATTGAGAGGTTAAGTGACTTGCCCAAGGCCACAAAACCAGTATATGACAGAGGAAGGTGGGACTAGAACCCAGGTGCTCCTGACTCTAAGGATGCCTCTAAACTCAACTGTTACTCTTAATACCATTCAAAAAATGGTAAGTGTGCAGTCAAATTCACGCAAAGAATTCTAAGTGATTTAAAGAGAGAGGGATCACATCTATAGGGTGGTGGTGGGTAGTGGTGGTGGTAGTGGCAGATATCAGGAAAGGAAATGACACCTGAGCTGGGCCTTGAAGGAGAAGAGATGCCATTAGGTGGAGATGAGTTAGGGGAGAAGTCTATTCCTGTCACGGAGATTCTATGTGTATTCAGGTATTGTTTATTGTATCAAGACCAAGAAAATACTATAAAATAGAGATGGAAAGTAGAGTAAAGTAAGTTGGAGAAGGACTTAAATTGAAGGCTAAGTAGCTTGTGCTTCATTCTGTTGGAAATGGGGAGCCTTTGAAAGTTAAAGAGCCTGGAAGTGTTGCGGTCAGATCTCTGCTTTAAGATTATCTTGGCAGCTGGAGAAAGGCTGCCTAAATATGAGAAGGGAAGAGGTTGGTGGAGAAAAGTCACGTCAATAAAATCATGTGAATTTCATAACATGAACCTGGTTTCCATTTTAAAATGGAGTATGGAGTATGGAGTAGATAGTCTTGAGTTTTTATTCAGATTTCAAAACAGGTTATTTCTGGAGGGTGAGGGAAGCAATTATCTCATTATTGTCTATAACAGTGTTCTCCAAAGCAGGGGAAGGAATAGTAGTGGACTGACCCCATGGAGTGTGTGATCAACCAATTAGAGGGTGGCAAGACAGATTTTATCCCATTCTCTCTTTGATAGGCAGCTGATAGCCAATCATGAGGTTTGTCTCAGACACAACTACGGCCTATTCTTATCCCCCAATACTCTACCTCCTCCCTCTGCTGTGCAAGTTTTCTCTTCTCCCTTCTGAGTCTGGCTAGGCATCTCAGCACAGTTATAACCAAAACTAACTTCCACCACAACAGTTACTCTGTGACACTGGGAAATTCTGTCCCTACATATTCCCTCTCAGATTCCTTCATGGCTGCTATACTGGGGTAGTGGCTTGTAAAGATCTTTGCTTCCTCACTTTTCATTTTGAGATGAGCAGGTGTGAGTGAATTGCAATCTGAATCACAAATCTCATTAGATTATCTTTCCACACCCCACTTCCAACCTACCTATTTTTCAAACTTCCCTGTTACTGTCAAGGGCACCACCATCCTCCTAGTCATCCAGGTTTTCACAACATTCATATCGTCTTTGACCTTTTTTTTTTTTTTGCGAGGCAATTGGGGTTAAGTGACTTGCCCAGGATCACATAGCTAGTAATTATCAAGTGTCTGGTCTGAGACTGCATTTGAACTCAGGTCCTCCAGGGCTGGTGCTCTATCTACTAAGTGACCTAGCTGTCCCACCATCTTTGACTCTTGACTTTTCCTTAGCCCCACCCTCCGCATATCTAGTTTGGGGTCAAATCTTGTCCTTTCTGCTTCTAAGCCTCTTCTGTCCGCTCTTAAGGCCACCACCACTCGAGTTCAGGTCCTTTTCATCACTTACCTGGACTATTACTATAACCTCTCAAACTGGTCTCCCACCCGCAAAGCCTCTATTATATTCTTAAAGCTGCTAGGTAGCATAGTGGATTGAGAATGGAACTTGGAGTCAGGAAGATTTGAATTCCCAGCCTGCCTCAGACTTTCTAGCTATGTGACACCCAGCTATGTGTCTACTTTCAGCTTCGGTTTTTGAAATTATAAATAGGGGATAATAATAGTACCTACCTCACAGAGCTGTGAGGATTAAATGAGTTTGCCATATGAAAAGTGCTTTGCAAACTTTAAAACATGATATAAACGATAGTTATTATTATTATTAATCATTATCATCACTATCCTCCATAAACTGCCAAAGCGACTTTCCTAAAGTGTGACCCTGTCACTCATCTGCTCAGTAAACTTCAATCGTTTCCTATTGACTTCAGGATCCACTATTATTACATGTTCGTCTCATCCTTTTGCAAATTGTATTTTTTGGTGTAAGTTGGATGATATATAAAATTATTAGTATAACAGCACATGCATATAATTTACAAATAACCAAACATACATATTTGGGAGTATATGCTCAAAAATATCTTACTGAAGGTGTACAGGCTCAAAAAAGACTGGAGACTGCTGGTCTATGACGCAATATAGCTATTAGAAGGTGAGCTCCTTGAGGGCAGGAACCTTTTTTATTCCTTTGTTTTTTGTCTTAGTTTATATTCTCAGTGCTTAACATAGTGCCTGGAACATAGTAAGTGCTTAATAAATGCTTGTTGACTGAAAGCAGTAAAGATTAGATAGAATTGTATAAGGAACAAGTACATTTTAATAGAGTTCTTACACATTCATAGACTACATACACTTAACTCTTGAACACGCAGACACACAGATAGACAGACAGACAGACAGACAGACAGACACACACACACACACACACACACACACACACACACACACCCGAGGTAGAGATCAGCATATCAGCATATACTACAGACTGTGGAAAGTTTTGAGTTTTATCTGAACTTCAGGCACAGGAAGGAGGATGGAATTTTGGGGAGGAAGGAATTCTGTAACCACCCTAACTTGTACCAGTTGTAATTTGGCTTTTGCGGTTTTTTGACGGTGGGACCCCATTAGTTTTTGTCTTCCTTCTGCTGCAGTTAATTTGTCTTCCTCCTAGGCAAGCAGTGGGAGGGGGAGGGGAAACAATAAATGTTTGATGATAGGGCAGCTCCTCAAATTCCTGGGACAACTCTGACCCAGTCTGTCAGCTCGCGGGAAGGGGGATATATGTCTCATTCTTGACTCTTCAGCCAGCCTGGGACACAAGGCTGTGGGGGTTGGTGGGACAATCCCACAGGACCAGGAAGGAAGGCGCCCTGTCTTCATTAAGGGCCTCGTTCCCACCCCAGAAGCTAGCTAGGCAAAAAGGCAAAGTAAGGCGTAGCAGCCCAGGCTGAAACGTGGGGGGTTAAAAATGCCAGCTCCAGGGTTCTGTGAGGTGCCGCCTGGGGGGAGGGACTCTGGCCTACCTTCGCTGCCCCTTCCTCTGTCGCCCTGGCCAGCACCCAGCCTCCTGCCCATGAGGAGGAGAAGGTATCAGATGGGCGGGTTTAAACGTTTGCGGTGGAAGTCCCGAGGCCGCCTGCTCCTCCCTGTGAGTGTGTGTGTCTGCCTGTCTCTGCACTGAAGCAGCGGCGGCAGCTGTAGCGGTGGCGGAGGCAGCAGCAGCAGTGGCAGCAGCACCATTGGCCGGACTGGACCTAAGCATCAGTGCTGTGCTGGTGGCAGCTGCCCTGTGCTCTTTCGGAGGCCCTTGCGTCCCGTCCCAGGCCACCCCCAGACACCTAGTGCTGCCATGCTCGGGCGCTAGCCCCCATCTCGGGTTCCCCTTCCCCCCCCCCCAGCTTCCCTTCGGCTCTTTGCTTTCGTGGGGGCAGCGGCGAGGGCTGTGTGCTTGAGCTGGGGTGGCCGCCGCCGCCTCCCTCCCCGAAGCCCCTTGCCCTCTCCCTCGGCCCTCCTCATCTTCCTCCTCCTCCTCCTCCTCCTTCACCTCCACCTTCTCCCTCTGCAACCTCCGTCTCTGTCGCCGTTTCTTCAATGGGCAATCTGCTGAGCGGGACCAGCTTCAAGGAGCCCACCACCGTGGAGGACTGTGACTCCACCTGGCAGACGGACTCCGAGCCCGAGCCGGACGAGGAGGAAGACGGCCCAGCCGGCAGTGGCCCAGGCAGCCGCGAGGGCCCGGGGCACGAGCCCGAGCAACCAGCGGGGCCACCTGCTAGGGCCAGCCCGCGGGCAGAAGACAACCCTGCAGCACCTGAGGGAGACGCGGACGCCGCCGGTAGCAAGGAGCAGGTATGCCCCAGAGGCTTCCCGGGGGGAAGGTGCTAGGTCCTCTCTGGTCCAGTGCTATCCCCGAGCCGTGCCCTTTCCCCTTCTTCCCCCGGCCCCCCGCGTCCTCCTGGAGGATTTGAGAGCATCTCTGTTCCCGAGTGGAGCACTTGGTTTTGCTGCCACAGCCCGATGAAGAAGGGAGGGAGGACTCAGAGAGAGTGAAGGAAGAAGCGCCCTCATATTAGAGTACCCTAGTCTGAATACATTTTATTTATTTTTGTGGGGTGAGAGGGTGCTTCTTTAAGCCCCATTCCTCCCTCCTTGCCTTCCGCAAGACAGTTGCCAGTCCAGGGGTTCTTTTCTCCCTTGGCACAGTCCTCTTTGAGTCACCAGGAAGTTGAGGGGAGCCCTGCAATTGCAGGCAGGTTGAGAAGTAGGCGTGTGGCTGTGGTTGTGGCTGGAGGCCCAGGCCCGCTGCACATCTGTGCCCATGAATTGTATTGTATAAGGAAATTCTTCCAAAGAGAAAACCAAATTTGGTTTGGTGCTCTCCCTGCACCTGGAAGAAGGGAGAAAGAAGAACAGAGAAGTGCCAGTTAAGTAGCTAAAAATAGAAGGCTATGAAACCTATTCACAGTTGTGGAAATTCTCTTAAACTTAAACTTATATGTTACCTTAAGGCTTAACTAAATGGCTTCCCTGACCATAACTCTGTATGGTAGAGTACTTAGTAGTGCTAATCTCCATTTTACAAAGGCTTAGAGAAACTGCCCAAGGTCACAAGGTCTAGCAAGTGGCAGAGCTGAAACTTCTGACCCCCGAGTCGAGTCCCCTTTCCACTGTGCAGACCACACCTAAGTCTGTCCTTTTCTCCTATTGTTAGGAGTATTACCATCAAACTATTTCTATTATTTCCCCACTTTAAGTTAAAATATTAGAACAGTTCTTCATTTACCCATGTAGTGCATCTGTCTCATCCAAGAAATTCACAGGAATTGTGTTATTTCACTCAGTAAACCTGTTAAAATAGGTAGTTTTAAGCACAACCGTCTTTATATTTAAAACGACAATACCATATGTAATTTTGCCAACTTTTTTTCCAAATAAAGAAAATCTTCAATCTCTGATAAATCACCCAGAACTTCTGGAAAAAGAGAAAAGAAAAGGCATGTACTACTCACAGTGGAAAACCATCATCCCAAAGGCTGCTTCACTAAGAAGGGACATGCACATAAGATTTTACAGCCAGAAGGGATTATTATTTCTTATTGATCATTTTACTGATAGAGAAATTTAGGCTCAAGAAACTTGCTAATACGTGCTTGAGCCACGATCTAGAACTCTGCTGACTCGAAAACTTCTGCTCTTTCCAGTATACTATACTGTTTCAAAATTAAGCCCATAATAACCTGTTCTGTTTCTATCCATCTAACGTCAATGAAAGTCGGGGGGGGGAGGGGAAGACCAAAGGTTGGTCACTCTCTTTCCCCAGACCTCTTCTACCGGTACCATTCATATTGCAGAGAGTTTCCAACTTGCTAAAGAATTCTCTGGTTTATGAATCCTTTTGGCCGTACCTCAGGAATTTCAGTTTCCTCTGACCCTTGTAATGGTACCTGTTGTAGTGCTCTGTAATCAACTGGGACAACCGGATAAATTTAGACTTGAGTGTCTCTGGTATCCTCTGTTATCCTGACCCAGGAAAGGAAATACTCTGGCATAGCACTGCAGATCCCAAGCTTCCCTAAGTCTTTCAACTTCTAGTTTCCAGAACGAAGGATGAACGACAACAACCTGGTGTTCTATCTACTTGTTCCTGCTTTCTACTTGGGGAGTGGAGAGTATTTGGATATTGTAACTGCATCTCCTCACCCTCTCTAGTTCATATATAACCCATGTACCTCCCACTCTTTCATTTCTCTCCCATTTAAAACAGTCTTAAATAATAGAACACCGGGCTCCAGAATCAGGAGGATTTGAGTTCAAATCCAGCCTCAGACACTTGACATTTACTAGCTGTGTGACCTTGGGCAAGTCACTTAACCCCATTGCCTAGCCAAAAAGAAAAACAAACAAAAACATAGTCTTCTATTGAAGTTTAGGGGTGCCAGTTAATACAAGATAACCAAACTGAATCAGGTTCAAAACTTGACTTGTTATAACCAGCCAGTATCATCTATGTTAGTGTTTCCTAAATGAACTATAGATGAACGGCAACAGAAGGTAAATTTTTATCGTCAATGACGTATTAAGAGGCAGCTTGGTATGGTGGATAGCAAGCCAGTCTTGTAGTCAGGAAGATCTGGTTATGAGTCTCGCCTCTTACATGTATTAGCTCTGTGATTTTGGGTAAGAATTTCTCAGGGACAGCTAGGTGGAGCAGTGGATAGTGCACCGGCCCTGAAGTTAGGAGGACCTGAGTTCAAATCTGGTCTCAGTCACTTGACACTTACTAGCTGTGTGACCCTGGGCAAGTCACTTAACCCCATTGCCTAACAACAACACAAAAAGAATTCCTCAGGGAAATTCTTTAAGATCTGCAAGTTACAGATGAGGAGCCCATCTTCATTGGTGGAACGATATTACAAACAGAGTTCTCTATACTGCTAAAATCACAGGTCCAGGTTAACAAATATGTGGCAAGTTATATATACATCATTGGCAAATCTTTTACTAGCAAACCTACAAATTTAATAAATTTAAACCCATAAACTTTAAAAAGTTTAAAAATTTCCATTCTTTCTCCCCAGACATTTGGCTTGCCCTTGATCTGTGCTCTACTCACCCAAATTATAGTTTGGATTTTCAATTAGAGATTAATAACCTACAAATGGTTTAAATCAAAACTTTGGAGTTTCTTCTACTTCATGATATACATTTCAGTTCCTGCTTTTTTCCATGTTGCCTAAAGTTTCTGTTTTTGTGGGGTGTAGGATTTAATATGAACTTTTGGTTCAGATTTCATTTTGGTCTGCAAAGGAAAAAGCAAAGAACTTTGGATCAGAAAAAATGAGTTTTGATTCCTGGCACTGACCTTTATTAGCTAAGAGGCTGAGTAAATCACTTTAGTTTTGAGCTTAAGTGTCCTCTATTATCTATGAAATGAGGATACTTGCAGTAGTCTCTTCATAGGGTTAGTGTGTGTGTGTACCACATAAATGAGTTATTAGCTGGTATCCATGTAGAAGAGAGGATCATAACAGCATACATCCATAGCTGAGAGGTACCTCAGAGACCATCTAGTCCAGATTAAATGAGATAATATTTATACAGCACTTATCACAATGCCTGGCACATATCAGGCACTGCTAATTCCTTTCCCTTTCCTTAGACCAGACCCCTCATTTTACAAATAAAGAAACTGAGAGCCAGATTTCTGAATTAATTTGCCCAAGGATATATAGGTAGTGATTGATAGAGGTAGGATTTGAGCCCCTGTTTTTTGACTAGAGAAGCAATAATCTTTCTGCTGCATGAAGAAAAGGGTTATTTGATCTAACAAAGCAAGATATGTTTTGTACTATTTTATTATAAAAGTGACTCATATAAGATTTTTTTCATACAGACCTGTAATTTCATTGGTATATGGAATTCTTAGTGTACATATTTTTTTCGTTGATAGAAATTAGCAACTATCTGGGACTTAGTCTTAGAGATTTGCTTAAGCTCAGAGAGGTTTAGTAATTTGCCTGCCTTTTCAGGCCCTTGTTTCTGAGGCTGGACTCAAATTCAGGTCTTACTGACTTCAGATCTACTATACTGCACTGCTTCTTCTTGTATTATATACGTTGGCTTTTGGTTTTCTGTTGACTTTTATCTACATTTTGGACATTTAAAACCCAAAATTCTATTTCTCTTTGGCATACACATTTATAAAATTTTTATTTTTATTTTTATTTTCCAGAAGATACTGCATCTGGGGATGTTGGGCATTTCTGAGACTAAACCTTTTTACACTTTCACTGAGGCCAAGCTGTGAACATTATGTAGTTAATTCTAATGTCATTTCTTGACCTATTGATGCTCAGACTAAATACATTTGGGAACTTGCTAGGTAGAACTGTCTTCAGATGTATGGTATGGTAAGGTAGGCAGAATTTAAGCTTCCTTGTGCTTATAATAGCCAGTGTTCAAAACCAGAGGAGATAGTGTCCAAGTATATGTTCTTGCCTTAATTGCGAGAATCATAGGTGCCAGGCTGCTATTCCTGATGAAGACTGGAAAAAACTGGTCACAAAAGCAAGTAAAGTCAAAGCCTCAACCAAATGCTAATGTTGCAAGTGGATTATCCATCTGTGTGTCTTAAACACCAACTCTCCCTCTCCTAATGATACTTATAACAAATGTATTAATATCTTGCATTTGTATAAGGATCTTCAGATATCAGAACACTTCTTTTAACAAGACATCCAGCTTAAGAATATAGTCAACTCAAATCAAAAGGCATTTATTCAGTGGCTGCTATGTACTAATCATTGAGGATAAAAGAAAGGGGAGAAAATGCCTGCTCTCAAAAGGAGCTCACAGACTTGGAAACATACAAACAACTATATACAAATATGATAACTATCTATATTTCTATATGTATGAATAGATGATAAATCACAGATGGTCACAAAGAGAAGGCACTAGCATTAAGGGGTATCAGGAAAAGCTTCTTTAGGAGGTGAGATTTTAACTAGGGCATGAAAGAAGCCAGGCAAACAAGGAGATGGAGATGAGGAGGAAGGGAATTCCAGGCATTAGGGAAATAGCCAAAGTGCTCAGAGTTGAAGAGTAAATCTAGCGTGAGGAAAATCAAGGAAGCCAGAGTCACTGGATCACAGAGTATGGGAAAGGTAGTAAGATGTAAGAAGCCTGGAACAAAGTATTCCCATATAAATTTTTAAAAGACATATAGATTAAGAATTTAGATTTGGGACAGAGATTAACTTGTTTTGCATGGATTTCTGAACCTAGATATCTGAGTTTCTAACTTTACTAAGATAAGATTGAAGTATCATATATGTTATTTCAGTTTGCAAGTTGATTTCAGTGGAAAGGCTTTTGGTTGTTTAGCATATGTATGTATTTTAATTTTGCTGATTTATGATACAGTTTAATATCATTGAATCAGTAAGAATTATTCATGCCTTCATATTTTCCTTGTTGTGGTGCTATAAAATATGCAGTTTATAGTGCTGTTTGTTAAAAGCCCCCTTTTCCTTTCATAAATATTACTTTACTATGAAGAACAGCTAAGCATTATAGATTTAATGAGTATTTTCTTTATAGAACTGATTTATGTACTTAACAGACTTTGGTTATATGAAATAGTAAAAAATAAATTTTTTCATGTGACTATTTACATAACATGCAGTAAAATATGTAGTAGATTTTTTTTTAAATTTCTGCTGCGTATTGATCTGTCACATTTAGCCCCCTGGGCTTTGGCCTCTCTTGGCTAAGTATGAAGTTTATTATTTATTAGGAAAACTTGTATCAAATTTAGAGTCAAATTTAGATACTTGAAAATTTGATTAAATTAATTAGAAATTAAATTAGAAAATTATTCACTAGCAAAGAATTCTTAGATGATGTGAAGAATCAAAATGAGCTTAGGAGTGTGTGTGTGTGTGTGTGTGTGTGTGTGTGTGTGTGTAGGTTATTATTTCAAGTTAATTCTGGAAATTGTTCAGTGAATTAAACATGGTATTTAATGACATAAACCAATAACCTCTTTTAATGAATAAGTCTGGTTTTTGTTTTTGTTTTTTAACTTTCAGAATGACGATTCCACAGAGTCGGCTGCCAAACCAAAGAGAAGCTTTTATGCTGCAAGAGATTTGTACAAATACCGACATCAATACCCAGTAAGAGTGTTACGTAGAATTCTAGAGCATCCATTTTAGTCTTGATAAGTGTTTTTTCAGCCTCTTCATGGACACCTCCAGTGATAGAAAATGCTACCTGTGAGAACAACCTTTTCTGGGGCAGTCCCAGTCATTAGGAATCATTCATTTCCTTACATCAAGCCAGAATTTGCTTCTGTAATATAAATTAATCCCTTTAATCCGAGTTGGTCCTCTTGGGCTAAATAGGATAATCCTTTTTAAAGTGATAGTCCTTCTAATATCTGGTTAAAGACTAAATCTTCCCAAAGTCTTCTCTTCTATAGGATAAACATTCCTAGTTCCTTTAATCTACATATGATATGATTTTATTATCCTCACCATCCAGAAATTATTCTCCTGAATTGCCTCCAGTTAAGTAATCTTGTAAAATATGATACTCAGAATTAAGTATAACATTTCAGAGGTGGTTTTATTGGGGTAGAGCAGTGGGGTCCTTGAAAGTGGTTTTATTTTATATTTTAAAAACTATTTCAATTTAATTAGTTTCCTTTGTAATCCTCTGTATTTTATTTTGTGCATTTAAAAACATCATTTTGAGGAGTCCACAGGCTTCACCAAACTTCTAGAAGTATCCAGAACACACACACACACACATACACACACACACACACACACAGAGGTTAAGAACAGCTAGGTTAGAGTATACTATAGCTAATAATCCTTGTATAGATATGGAATTTCTGTCACTAAAAGCTAAGAATGCATTTACTTTTTGGCTGCCTCAATAATATACTTTAAGCTTAGAGTCCCTAAATAGCCATAAGTCTAGTAACATAAGTTACTGTTTGGCCATGTCTAGTTAATTCTATGAACTGAAGTACATTTTATAACTTATGTATTAAGTCTTTCTAAGTTATTAACATAACTTACTACAACATATTTCTCCTACTTTTCTGATGTTGCAACAAATTAAGG